GAGACAATTGTGGCTCAGTGAGTCCCCGTCCGCGGTCGTGTGCGAAGGTCGCGCGCGAGTGTCCGTCCACCCGCCCGTCCTCGCCAGGTCGGATCGTACACTGGAACCACCACATTCCTGCCCGTCACGCCGGAGTGAGGTGACGTGTTGAAGTGTAACTAGCGAAGATCCTGTGTACCGTTTGCTCTTGGATATATTTGGAGGAGAATATATACCTACGCCTTGGAGTATTACACGCGTATATACCTGCGGTGGTGCCCCTCCCGAGTTTAGAGAAGCGGTAAGTCATGTGATGTTTATGTTGGGGAGGTGTGGGTGGGGTGGGGGAGGAGTGGAGGTGACAAATACAGAGCCTATTGGGCTCATATCATATCTACATACAGAGCTGTGTATGGGGTCTCCCTCCATTACCGGACGTTTCGTTTGTTTACTCTGGTACAGTAAACAATCTTTTTAATATCTCTGTGGCTCCTTTGGGTACTTTGTTACCATCTGGGTTTGCCTGGATACCACCCATTTTAGTATTTTGTATGTGGTGACCATGTCTGGTCGGTTTCTCCTCTATTCCAGTGGCGTGAGGTTTAACCTCATTAGTCATTCCTCGTGGCTCATTCCTGTCAGCTCTGAGACTAGTCTGGCTGCACACCTCTCAGCTTTCTCCAGCTTCACTTTATATTAACAGAGATAGGACTAGGGTGGTGGTGCCGCGTATTCCAGAAATGGTCTCACATTAATGATCCCGAAAGACCTTTTTTCAGGTTCTTAAAAACTTGTTATATTTGCCACCTTTCTGTATGCGGCTGAAGTTATCCTCTACACGGGCTTCTGGCGACGAAAAGAAAGGCAACATTTGATTTTGTGTGTCCGGTTCCAGGAGGATTACCCGTCTGAGATGATGCCTTATATCCCAACACCTGTCCACCATTACTTGGCACTTGCTTGAGCTGAACTCTAGTAGCCACTTGAGGGACGATGCTTTAATTTATGCAGTTCAAGTATGTTTATTGAGACAAGAAAGAAATACATCTCAAAGGGATAGAGTAGCTTAGGTTCTTATAGTTCCTTGCACTTTTCCATAGCTTTAATAATCCTCATAACTCTGGCATCGTCAAATGGAACAATGAGAGGAAGGACTCTATCCCCGCTGGTGGGACGTAGGCTTACAGATTAGGGATAGGAGTGGTCCCAATACTGGCCAGTGTGGGAGAGGTAAGGTAATTACCAGGAGAAAGCGCTGAGTCAATACGACTATGCAGCACTTGGAAGGGATTAGGATAAGGATTTAGGTGAGGACGGGGGGGGGGTGAAGGAATGGTGCCCAACCACTTGGACGGTCGGGGACTGAACGCCGACCTGCATGAAGCGAGACCATCGCTCTACCGTCCAGCCCAAGTGGTTATGTTGGTGTGGTGGGAGAGGTGAGTGGTGTGGTGGGAGAGGTGAGTGGTGTGGTGGGAGAGGTGAGTGGTGTGGTGGGAGAGGTGAGTGGTGTGGTGGGAGAGGTGAGTGGTGTGGTGGGAGAGGTGAGTAGGAGAGGTGAGGTGGGAGAGGTGAGTGGTGTGGTGGGAGAGGAAAGGGGCCGGAAGTAGGATAGAGAATTAATAGGGGGGGGGGCTGGGGGGTATCCTGTGTCCAGGCCCCCCCCCCTCTGTGCGCCGCTTCCCCCCCCCCCCGGCCCAGGAGGTTGCATCCAGGCGCCTGACGGCTGAGTGGACAGCGCTTGGGATTCCTAGTCCTGAGGTCCTGGGTTCGATCCCCGGCGGAGGTGGAAACAAATGGGCAGAGTGTCTTTCACCCTAATGCACCTGTTCACCTAGCATTAAATAGGTACCTGGGAGTTAGACAGCTGCTACGGGCTGCTTCCTGGTGTGTAAAAAAAAAGTCCTGGTCGAGGACCGGGCCGCGGGGACTCTAAGCCCCGAAATCATCTCAAGATAACCTCAAGATAGCCGACCCTCCCCTACCCCAGCATCAGCTTCCTCCCCCAACTCACATCCTTTTTAACTTTCCTTGTGGTTACTTTGCGATGATTTCGGGGCTTAACTTCCCCACGACCCGGTCCCAACCAGGCCTCCTGGTTGCTAGACTGGTCAACCAGGCTGTTGGACGCGGCTGCTCGCAGCCTGACGTAAGAATGAGTACTGGTCAAATATAACCGTTTCGGATACCGTCGGTTCAGTACACAAAAAACCAATTCGCTCATAAACAGTTTGTATACACGAACCCTTTCGTATATACATATGCATACATCATATATACATTCGTATATACATAACAGGATCATACTGGTTGATCAGGTATCCTTTGGAGGTGTTTGTCAAGTTCTCTCTTGAACACTGTGAGGGGTCGGCCAGTTATGTCCCTTATGTGTAGTGGAAGCGTGTTGAACAGTCTCGGGCCTCTGATGGTGATAGTTCTCTCTTGAACATTGTGAGGGGGTCGGCCAGTTATGTCCCTTATGTGTAGTGGAAGTTTGTTGAACAGTCTCGGGCCTCTGATGGTGATAGTTCTCTCTCAGAGTACCTGTTGCACCTCTGCTTTTCAACGAGGGTATTCTGCACATCCTGCCATGCCTCCTGGTCTCATGTGATGTTATTTCTGTGTGCAGGTTTGGGACCAGCCCACAAATATTTTTCACGTGTAAATTATTATGTACCTCTCCCGCCTGCGCTCAGAAGAATACAGATTTAGGCATTTCAGTCGGTCTCAGTAGTTTAGATGTTTTACTGAGTGGATTCTAGCAGTAAAGAATCTCTGCACGCTCTCCAGGTCAGCAATTTCTCCAGCTTTGAAAGGGGCTGACATTGTGCAGCAGTACTCCACTCTAGAGAGCACAAGCGTTTTGAAAAGTATCATCATCGGTATAGCATCTCTAGTGTGAAAGGTTGAAAGGCTCCCATTAATATGGCTGAACCAGTCAAATATTGTTTTTCATATATCTAAGGAACTATGATAACGTAGTTTTAATTTTTTTATTAAAATAATATTTATTTTGTGATAAATATATATTTTGTTATCTTTTACCTGTTTATGATATATTGCTCGCTGAACCCTGGTGTTGACAAGTGAACACGTTGGAACACATGAACACTGGAACACGTTGGAACACATGAACACGTTGGAACACTGGAACACATGAACACGTTGGAACACATGAACACGTTGGAACACTGGAACACATGAACACGTTGGAACACATGAACACTGGAACACATGAACACGTTGGAACACTGGAACACATGAACACGTTGGAACACTGGAACACATGAACACGTTGGAACACTGGAACACATGAACACGTTGGAACACTGGAACACTGGAACACATGAACACGTTGGGACACATGAACACGTTGGAACACGTTGGAACACATGAACACGTTGGAACACTGGAACACATTAACACGTTGGAACACTGGAACACATGAAAACGTTGGAACACTGGAACACATGAACACGTTGGAACAGACAGGAAGATGGAACGTGATAGACTCGAGCACTTTCCTCTTTATTTCACAACATTCTCGGAAAATTTTAAATTAGACACAAAAACACTTCAGTTTTGTTTTTCAGTTGTGGTCATGTTAGTTTTCTAGTTACTGATTACGTTAATTTGTTTGTTATTTAAACACGCGCGCGCACACACACACCCAAATGAGCCACAGAGACGTTAGAAAGAACTTTTTCAGTGTCGAAGTAGTTAACAGATGGAATGCATTAGGAAGTGATGTGGTGGAGGCTGACTCCATACACAGTTTCAAATGTAGATATGATAGAGCCCAATAGGCTCAGGAATCTGTACACCAGTTGATTGACGGTTGAGAGGCGGGACCAAAGAGCCAGAGCTTAACCCCCGCAAGCACAACTAGGAGAATACACACACACACAAGGAATAATTGATGTTACTTTAGGGAGATGCCACAACCCTCTTTTTTTCATTAGGGAACTGTCTACAGTTTCATTCGGGAACTGTCTACAGTTCTTGGCTGTTAGAGACGAGGAAGCAGTTACACTCTGCCTTGGATGTACTGGCAAGTAAACTAACACTTAGAACTGGGAGTAAAACTGAATAAAATCAGAATACTGATGAACGAATTTTAAGTGAACTGACAGACTTATGAGTGCACTCTCGGGAGCACACTCTGGTGAGTACACTCTGGTGAGTACATGAGGGTCCTCACTACACTGCTCCTCATCACCTCAACGTCACACAAATTCACCCCCACTCCTTATCTCTTTCTTTACTTACGTGTAGTAAATCTTCGTCCCCAGTACTCATTGAGTGAATTTCACTCTCCTTCATGCAACTCGAAAAGGACAAGTGAATAACACATTTGTATTTAACTTCTTTAGTTCTTCACAGACTCAAACACCACTTGAGTTTCCGACTAGACTCATCTTCACTCAGTCACTTGATGCCACTGAACAACCTCCAATTATGAACTAATTCAGCATTTCCCTGCCTATGGCCACTGGACTAACTGTAGAGGCAGCAGGCAGCTTGTGGCCTAACTTACACTGCACCACCACCACCCATACGTGAGCCAAGTCACTGTGGGAGATGTGAGTTATGACCAAGCAACTTTCCTGCACTCTCCTTTAAGTGACACCTTCCTGGTTCACTCAACGCTGAGTTTTTAACACTCAGACTCATTCTGATCTACAGAGTGTGAGTGTTAGACTCACTCTGACAGTGGGTGACAGACTCCAGACTGATGAGTGTGGTCTGTCACCCGCCACGGTTACAGCCACCCTGGAGTCTGTAACCCTGGCTCCTCCCAGCACATGTTACAGGCCAATATCTTACCTTTAGGTTAGCTAGGCCTCTTGGTTGGTGGTCTGGTCAATCATGCTGTTAGCTCCAGCTGCTCACAGACTGGTTGATTAGGTATCCTAAACTTTTGAACAGAACGATAGGTCGGCCAGCTATGTCCCTCCCTTCCGTTATGTTTAAGGGAGGGCGTTGAACAGTCTTGGGCCCTAGATGTTGATAGAACTCTCCCTCAGTGTACCTATTAGGATCCTGGCAGTATTGCACCTCTGGTTTTCAACGGGGGTATTTTGCATTTCCTGCCATGCCTCCTGGTCTCATGTGGCGTTGCTTTCGTGTGCAGATATGAAACCGGTCCCTCTAATATTTGTAAGCTGTAAATTATTACGTCTCTTCTGCCTGCACTTTAAGGAATAGTTTTAAAAATTAAACATTCCCAGTAATTGACGTGTTTTGTGTCGTGGATCCTGGCAGTATAAGATCTCTGCGCGTTCATCAGGTCAGCAAGTT